GTCGCACGTCTGACCAGTCGGTCCAAGGGTTCCAACTGGGGTTAATTGCACTGAGAAGTAGTCCAATTTAAGCGGGGGTGGTGTAGTATCCGATCGGGGGTTTGACAATTTGGCCTTCTCGATCTTGGATTGAGATATGGTCAGCTTACACTATCAACCGAACCATAGGCTGAAATTTGAATCCCCCTCGTCTTTGTTGATGGTGGATCTCGATTGTAGATTGCTCGTTCCCATGTGATCGTCAGTGGGGAACCTCAGACTGAAAATATAGTGCAAAACCGAACTCTGGACAAGCCTGACACGGGGCGGGATCGGTGGAGGCCATGGTAAAGTGTCCCTGCTATAGCAATTCCCCAGCTACAGTATTCTGTGCCCTCACTACCTCAGGGTTCACCCCTCTCTCACCTTCCGGGACCCCATGCTTCATAATCAAACCTCACCAGATTTTCATGGAATTTGTGGGATTTAGGGGTGGGGGCCTTCTGGCAGTTCAGTATGCAGATATGGCAAAACCGATTTAACCTACGGTTGAGCATAACCATAAAAGCAGAGTTAAATCCTTTTGCTGCCTATAAAGCACAAGCTCAATAATAATATAAATAAATACTCACATCTGAACGGACGAGTACAAGCCTAATGAGGTCATCGTCGTTGGTGCCTGCACCAGCCATGGTTTCATGGAACCACTTTGCCAACAATGTATTCTTGTCCTCGGCGTACTGAACTAAAAGGCAGAACGGTAATCCTTTCAGATTCTAACGGTGAATAGGAGGGGCAATTTAAACTGAAGTCCTCGAGCACTGGCCGTTAATAAGCATAAATGTATTTACCGTTTTTATTTATTGAGGTGGTGCAGGTGAATGGAGTGGCTTCAACAAGGCTAAGTTGTGTTATAGTACCATTACTCTAATCGCCAACGCCACTGTGAGAGTTCGACCGCCGTGTGCAACGAGAGGTACCGTGTACGCTCCAAAAAAGGGGCACAGGGACGGTGATTTACGCCTGAAATAGGTTATATTGGTAGTAGACTTGCATTGCATCTACCGCACTCTCTCCTCCTCCCCCAAATGGGCCCGGTAGCATCCCCAAATCAAGATGAGAGGCGGGAAAGAGCACAGATGGTTCCTAGACGAGCAGCCACGCGTGGCTCTCGGAGTAGGAGTACCATGTAGGCCATGTTAAGGAAAAACCATTGCAGCCCCGTCATTGTCTCGACGCCATAACTATACACATACCCACTGTGAACAGTTGATTTCCAAAAACGTATCATTTCCGGTCGAAAACCTGCTGAAATGTCGGATACAAAGCGTTTCGTCGGCTTCTTATCGGTTTGCAAAACTATCGCGAAAGCCCCCAGTTCAATTTCAGATCACTAATCTGTCGATAGGATTAGTTTTTTAACTTTATCTTACGACTTGCTGCTACTCATTCTTAATAATCTTCGACTGACGATGAGGACTGCGTGAAATTCGAGACTTCTATAGATACGTTTTGGGTTAAACAGCATCAAATTTGATTGTGCAACAGGTGCACTCTCAGTTTTGTATTGTAGTAATAAACTCCGGACAAACACTTGATGCCTACAGATGTTGTTGCCGTATGTACGGGTTTTATTTTTTGGGGGATGGGGTATGCATGTGTTTGTGTGTTCGGCCATCGATTTGGATGAAGTCCACCAAGATCACTAACAGGTTGGTACAGAAGGTGACAGGCCTCAAGGGATAGATCATAGTGGTAGCGGACGTAGTTGGCACCAACCGCTATCTTCACCTTCGCCCGGGATACAAAAAACCAAACAGGACACGGCATTGGCCGCTTTCTCCATTGCAGGCCAGAAATACCACCTTACTTAGCATTAAGTGGCAGTAGACTTTACGCGGATAAAACCGCAATACCAACACTCACTCACCTTTAGTAGGTGTGAAGACAGGCCAAAGGAGGCCGAGACTGATACGACTTCTACTAATTCTACTACTGACTAGCAATTTAGCTGAGTCTTAGTAGTACTGGTACTATTTCTAACGGTAATACTAATAAGAGGTGACGCGGGGTTGAAATCAACGTTAGAACTCATACCTCCTTGATCTCTACAAGCAGTGTGAAATCTGGGTTTATGCTATTTCGAGTAGTCATTTTGGCAAACACGTGTTTTACGGCAATTCGTCGTCGAGTAAATACATGTTTGAGGCCCTGAGCACACCGGGCTTGCCTTGGTTTTATGTTTGGGGGTTGGGTATGCATGTAATGCCGGGATAGTACTCACTTTGCCAAATGGGTAGTCGCGTCAGAGTTCCTGCTGCGCTGACTGCGTCTGGTACTCTGCGTGCACGCACTTCGATTCGTCAAACGTTATATCGAAAACTATGCATTTCACTCCAATATTTCGGCAGAGTCGTTGCGTGGATGGGTAAGCCTAGGTGGTCCGGGATGGATTTTAAGGGTCACCCGTGTGAATTTCACCTGTAGACGGATGGTGATGTGTGGCCTTGCCGGTGCAAAGCCTACTACAGGGACTAGCTGCATCCCCAATCGCCTAGAACCGGGATCGGCAACCTATGGCTCGCGAGCCAGGCGTGGCTCTTTTGATGATTGCATCTGGCTCTTTCAGATAAAACTAGAATTAGAAACATCAGATCCAGAGGCTTATTATGCTCATATTTAATTTAATCTTAAAATATATTATATGGTTCTCACTGAAATATATTTCCAAATATTTGCTTTCATCTCTCTGAGTCAAAAAGGTTCCCGACACCTGGCCTAGAACCTCGATCTTTTGGCGTTCCAGGAGTCAAAGCACAAATAATAGTAAAGTTAAGCTGACTCAGGCGGAAATGGGACAACGATTTTCGGCTATGAATGCGTGGGTGAGAAACAGACATAACAACTTACTGATCGCTACGAAAGTCTTCTCGAAGAAGCCAGATGTCTCCTTCTCAACGGCCTTTTGGAGCGATTTACCGTGTTTCTAACGTAAAGAAACGTATCGGTTATAACAGCATTAATAGAATCGGTGGGAAAAGCATCGCTATTGCTCATTAACTACAGCTGTTACAAATGAGGATGTCAACTCAATGACGCTTCTAAAAGTGTAATCAAACTTTAAAGTATTTTGATTAATCGCAAGTTCTGTGGTGAGCAGACAAAAAATATCTTCAATGCAGAGGGATCAAGACAGCCCCGCCGGGGATAGGAAACTCAACACCAAGGCAGGTAACCTCCAAGAGGTTTTGACTGCAAGTCCCATTAGGTAACACGATCAGGCTAGCATCGCGTGTGCGCAAAACTAACTTCTAGTGGAAAATAAACAAGGACAAATGACATTTTTACTCACCTGCTGATAGCATTTTGCTATCTCCCGAATTTGTGCGAAACTGCGTTGCGTAAGGACACATGTAAATGCAGCCTCATCCGTACCCATGCGCCTGAAAAGTATCGAGTAATTATGAGAATTCTGACGAGACCTTCACAACTCGCCATGAAATAGTATGTCCTTAGCTCAGATGCTCAGGTCGGGGCACCACGAACACTGCACACTTTACTTACTAGTTGCATGCGTTATGAAAGAAATATTTTCGCAGGTAAAAATACTTGTGCGTAGTAAGCAGTCTCATACTATAATAGGAGAAATTGTCGCAGATTACATTAGCATATGTGCGAATGCTTTTCTGAGCAGCGGCATAAACCTAAATGGAAAACAGTTATAAAATCAACCTTTGTCGGATTTAAGTGTTATTTCTGAGCCCACGTAAATCAGGTGAGGTTTGATGTGAGAAAACAGTTTCAGAAGAACGAAAGTGTGTTCTTGTTTAGAAATTGCGATCAGTAAATTTTGGCAAATTATGTCATAGCCATAAAGTACCGAAACTATTGTTTGGATGATTGATTGAAAACACCGAAAACCATGATGTTCCTTAATACACACAGGCATTCAGGCTCAACGGCGTCGATCAGCGCCTCATTCTCGCGTCATAGTAATTAAAAAAATCCGTTTTCTAACTGGGCCACATGTTAAATGCCCTGGAACAATAGGAAAATAGATCAGAAGAGGGCAGGCATTATTTGGGATGTGCTCCCATAGCAAATGCCACGAATAGGAATGTGGTAGCACGTGTAGGTGCAGGACCGTGCCGCGAAAGCTACTTGGGTCCCCTTCCACCTTCGGTGCTCTTGATTCTGTCTTGGTCCCGGAAACATATAGGTGAAGGCGGAGAGAGTGAGATAGATGCAGCGAGTGTCTATGATCGCTTAAAACTGCCTGACGAGCGAGCCACCATCCCTGTACATCATATTTTGGGGCATGTGGTGGGCATCGATGGATATGACGGTAGCTTAGGCATGTATCAAAAAACGCGAAACAGTTAATGGTTTGGGCTTGCCTAACTTTCCGCGGATATGCCCTAATAAACTGCGGGCATCGAAGTCCGCCAAGCGGCCCTGCTAGCTGTTCAGCTGGATACCAACTTAGTCAATCTTTTGATAAGAATGACTTGTATGGCCGCCTAAGCGGGACCTGAGAAAAGGAAAAGCCCATAATACATGTAATCTTGCGACACATTCTTGAGAAATTCGATTTAAGATTAGGTTTGGGTTCACGTTAGCAGTAGTGTTTAAGTTTTAGGTGGGGGCAAGACCGCCCATTTAAATAGGGGACGGGCGTTCCTTTTCCCGCGTCTGGTTTAAGCAACCATACAACTCACCCTTACCTATTTTTATATACAGACTACGCAGGCTTCTTAATTTCCATCACAGCGAAAAGGGAAAAAATAGCCATCTGCCGAAACTGAAACTCACTTTTCCCCGGCATGGTAGAGGGCGTCAGCATCCGCTGCAGCCTGTTGTGGATTCGCCACCAGTGTCTCCTCACGACAACCCTGAAGCATGGAGACCAGAACGCGCTCAAAGTCCCCGCTGGTGTCTCCCTTGATATCCTTCT